TGCCCATCTATAAAATCCTGCTCTGAAGTTTTTTCTTTTTTTGAGACAGAGTCTCTCTGCATCGCCCAGCACAATCTCTGCTCACTGCAACCTCCCCATCCCAGGTACAAGCGATTCTCTTGCCTCAAACTCGTGAGTAGTTGAAATTACAGGCGTGGGCCACCATGCCTGGCTAAATTTTTTTTTTTTCTTTTTAAGACAGAGTCATTGTTGCCCAGGCTGGAGTACAGCGGTGCAATCTCAGCTTACTGCAACCTTCACCTCCTGGTGTCAAGTGATTCTCCTGCCTCAGTCTCCCCAGTAGCTGGGATTATAGGCGCACACCACCACACCCAAATATTTTTTTTGTAATTTTAGTAGAAATGGGGTTTCACCATGTTGCCCAGGCTGGTCTCGAACTCCTGGCCTCCAGTGATCCACCCACCTTGGCCTCTCAAAGTGCTGGGATTAGAGGCGTGAGCCACTATGCCCAGTCTACTGGCTAATTTTTTAGTGGAGACAGGGTTTCACCATGTTGGCCAGGCTGGTCTCCAACTCCTGACCTCAAGTGATCTGCCTGCCTTGGCCTCCCAAAGTGCTGGGATTACAGGCATGAACCACCATGCCCAGCCCTATTCTGTATTTTTAACCTTTACACAGCAATATCCCATTGTAAGGTGCTGTGACAAATGAGTTATCTCCATGTTCCAGGCAAACAATATCATAGCAGGTTATGGACAAGAATGAGTTACTGCAGGGAGGGAAGGGCATGTCATTTGGCCTGAGCAATGCTAAATTCTAAATAAATGCTAATACATTTCTGACAAGCATAACTTAACAAGTTAAAAAATGAAAAATTACAATTTAATCTAAAATGTCTAAAACCCCGAGCATTTCTGATCTAATGGTTTCAGTTCAATAGTCAGAAGGCTGTTCATGTCTGCCATGACTCCTTAATCAGAAGACATCATAAAACATGTGGACATTCCTTTTTACAAAAATAAGGCCATTATGCCAAAGCCCTTCTGTTTTCTTCAGGATTGAAGACATTTTTCAACAAACAAGGTCACTCAATTGACTGTATCTGAAATTTTTTTAATTCATCCACCTGTATTTTAAAATCCAAGCAGCAGAAATTTCGAACAATTCCAGTCCACATGGGAATGCCTCAATCTCTATGCAAAAAACAACTAAGAATGCTTCACTTTTCTGAGGGGGAAGTATGACTCCTTTATTTCCAGTGAGCACCCGATAGCATCAATTTGTCAAGAACAGCCTCAAAATACATTTAAACTTGATCCTTAACTTCACAATGCATAGGAGAAAAAAATCTCCAGTGTTCTCAAATCTATATGCATCATTAACACATTTTTCTAAAACACTTCTGGGCATGCATGTGAACTGGAGAAGCACTGCAGAGAACCCCACCCATCAGTTCTGAAGAGGATAGAGAAGCACATTCTAGAAAACCATCAGGCCTCAAGGATGAAGAGCTCTGGTTGCTGATTTCAGGAATCTATAAAAACTATTGATGCTTTACTCTACAATAGGGCCCTCTAATCCCCAATCCCCTCCTGCCATCACCATAAAGAATGTCTTTAATTTGTTGGTACCATGTTTAAATTAATTATATTGGTTCTGCCATATGGCATATCCTTAAATGGAAATTTTTTTTCCTAGCTCCTGATTCACAGATGTGCCAAAGTGATGCATATCTCCACTGAGTTCAGAGAAATCCTGGCTGCACAGCGCGGTTCTGTGCAATGCATCGCTGCTGGCATTGACACTAACACTACCCTGACCCAGCCCTTCCTAGGGGGTAATGAAGCCTGCAGGAAACAGATGGATTGTACTTCAGACTTTAACTTCCCCAGAGCCCTTTCAAGTGGCCCTTGTGAGATGCCCCCACGTGGACAGCCTCGCTTTGTCTATTGTGCAGGGCCACTGTGAACTTGGCAACTTACGTTTGGTGCACCTCTGGGAGCCAGGGGCCTTACTCCAACCGTGACAGCACCGCTCCCCACAAACATTGACCCTGAAACAAAGCAAGACCGCTGAGTCCAGCAGCAGAAAGACTCCCTTCCCAAGAACCCAAGCTTCCAGCAGGTTCCAGAAAGGCCAGCCTCCAGCTTCTGCATCCCTCTGGACGAAAGAGAGTCCTAACAGGTACGCTGGATGCCCAACCCAAAGCTGCCCAAGCAGAATGGCAAGGCCCATATATCGGGGAATGGTGAGGGAACCAAAAAGCCTGCATAACCTAGGGCTATACAGGAGGGGAGAACCAGGGCCAAACAAATGGTTTTCTTACCCCCACATCAGAGTAGAGTCAAATTTATTTTTTCTATTATCTGGGCCAACATTTTAAATTGAAAATCAGTTTCAGAGAGAAGTGTCCAAAAAGGAGTGAGGTCACATGGCCTGGAATCACCCCTGAAGAAAACATGCCAAATAAGCAAAACAAGTTTTCCCTACACCCCAACCTGAGATGAACTGGGGGGAAGAGGGGACCCAAAGAGGGAAGAGACTATGAACACCCAATAACAGAAACAGTCCAACCAAAACTTGATGGTATCAATACCAAGACACTCCGCTCCAGGAAAGCAGACCCCACAGGTGCAGGGAAGCCCAAGCCTACGATTTCTCTGATGCTGAAAAGTTCCAGGCCACAGAACAGGAGCTGGATCTTTACGGCTAGCCCTCCCTCAAAACATTTTTTTCATTAGCTAGACCAAAATTAAAACTCAGTTGCAAAGAATTTAATTGATGTTGAGGGATTTAACTGTAGTGACCTCATGTTTACGCCCATCTTCTAGGAACAGTTGGGTTTGCGCGAGGAGGTTACGCCCCAGGCAGAAATGCCTTTTGTGTTTACCCGCAGCTCGGTAACAATGCACTAGGTCCCAGTTTCGCGTCTGCAACAGTTCCTGGGCTTCCCCACACTCCGCTCTTCCCGCGGCGCTCAGCGAAGTCGGAGCTGGCAGGAGAAAGCCGACCCACCGCGCGCGACCGCCCCGGCCACCGCGGGGCTCCAAGTGGCCCTGACCTCGCGGGTCCCTCCGCCCGCGGCGCACGCGAGGCTGGCGGGCGGGCGAGCGGAAGGGGGTGTGGGCTTACCCCTGCAGCTGCTGCTTCTGGTGAACCTGCAGCCTGGAACCCCCGCCGCTCTGGGTCTCCAGCGGCACCTTGGGGCGTACGACTTCCCTGCCTTGTCTGGCGAACGGGGCGGCCGCCGGGTGGCCGCCGGGCTTGGGGTGGAGCTGCCCGCCGGGGGCCCCGGGACGCGCCGGCTCCGGCGGCGGCGCTCGGAGCCCCTGCAGGGCCGCGCCGCCGGGCTTGCTTGTGCGCCGGGTTCGCTCCGAGGGGACCCCGAGGGAGACGCGGCTGGGGGCGCCGGCGGACGCCGAGCTGCGGCTGTACCTGGCGTTGAGCGCGACGTTGAAGGTCCGCGGACTCGGGGGCCCGCTCAGGGGCAAGGCGCCCGCCGCCAGGCCGGGGCCCGGGCGCACCACGTAGGTGATCCTCCGCACCCGGCCGTGCGCCGACGACGCGAGCAGCCCTGCCCAGAGCAGGAGCCCCCACCTGAGCCAGGCCCCCGCCATCGCGGGCCCCAGCCGGCGCGACCGGCCGCGCGCGGTCTGGCTCCCTCCTCCGGCTGTGCCGCTCGCCCTTCCCCGCGCGCTCGGGCTTCCCCGAGAGCAAGCGAGAGCCCGGGAAAGGCGGGAGGAGCCCAAGTCAGTGGCGAGGGAGGAAACTCCGCGGGCGGCTGAGTGGCCCCAGACCCCGGCCGATTGCGGCGGGGAGCGGGGGGCGGGCGTGGGGGTGGGGAGCGCGGAGCCCGGGAGGCTGGGAGGGGCGAGGGGAGCGGGCCGCGCAAGGTGAGGGTCCGCGCGCCCGGCCGGGGGTGCAGCGCGCGCCGCAGCGGGGCCCGGCGAGGGTGGCCGAGGGCGAGGGAGAGAGCGCGCGGGACACTCCGAGGCAGCCCCGGCGGCGAAGTCTTTTAAAAGTTTCTCTCCCGTGGCCCCGGGTGTCAGACCTGAGCAGCCAATCTCCGGCAGACGTGACGTCAGGCGGCAGAACCTAATTGGGGAAGGCGTGCGAGGAGCCCGAGAGCGCGCCGCCACCCTCCACATCCACAGGGGTTGCTTCCGTGGGTCGCTGAGGCGGAGGTCCCCACACCCCGGTCCCGTGTCCCGGGAGAGGACAAAGGGCTCAGCAAAGTTCCTCAACAGTCCTGTCCTTTCCCAAGCCCCATGCGTTTGATACTGTTTGGAAGCCCCGGCATTTTCTTATCCGTGTTTGCTGGGATACTTGCTACGGGGTTGAATTCAAATAAATCAGGCCCCAGAAAGGGCTGTCGGGGCGCGCTGAGGTCTCCATCGGAGAGACTTTAGGTGGCTGCCTGTGGGGCTGTAAAGTCCCAGTGGCTGCTTCTCGGTCTGCAGCCTCTGGTACCCCACTCCTCGCTTAGCAGGTATGGGAATGCAGGGCGGGCAGCAGAGGGCGCCCGCGTGGACGGGGAGAACCGCCCAAGGACAACCGCAGAAAACGGCCCTGTCCCTGGGCCTTTAGGTTAGGAATAGTGTTCAGGATCCCTGACAACCTTAAGCCATTATTATTTTTAATAAAGACGGATCCGTTCACCGGACATTAATCCGACAGGTCACCCAGCTTGGAGGTGACCTGACCCATTAAGGGAGATGGCAGAATGTTCCAGGGATAGTCCTGGAGGGTCATAGTGCTCTTTGGGGAAAACCATGAAATAATGACGAATTTGCTTTTAGCGTTTGAATTCAAAACAATGTCAACAGTAGAATGCATGGTTTTGTTATGTGAATACGATAGAAAGCCCATGGTCATAGCAGTCTTTTTTTTTTTTTTTTAAGTCTTTAACTTAAGAATGATGGTGTGTTTCCAAGGCTTTGGTGGTTCTTGTTCTTATTTACTTGTGGCTTACCCTTTTGTTGCCTGCTTTTGTTGATGAGTAGACAATTGGTAGCAGGTGACAATGGTTTAAATGGTTTTACTGTACTTGACTAGTCTTAAGAAAAGTTCAAAAAGACAATTAGCTGTCTCTCAGCACCAGGTTCTGTATGAAGGATACAACAGAAGCTAGTAAATATCCACTCTATCTCTGAAGGAGACACCGAGGCTGTGGAAATACAAAGGATCACAAGGCATAAAGCCTTTGTCTTTAAGAAAGTTGCTGTCTTGTTAGGGAGAGAAGATATAAATGAAAGCTTAAGAAAGATAAACAACAATGGAATGAAGCAACAGTTTAAGGTCATGATCGACCTCTCACAAGGGAGGACATGATTTGTATGATGCCTGTATCATAGGACAGCCCACAATTCTTTGTCATCTTATGGAAGATTCACCAACATGTAGGGAAAATCTTTCCTACCTGCAACTCAGATCAGTTCACAGAGCTCTTACCGCTCAGATGGGGATTATGTAACAGCAGTTGAAACGGATGGATGGTAGGAGAAGGGTCAGTAGCATATCTACAACATTCTGCAGAACGAAGACAGAAGAAAGATGTCAGACAGGTGAAAGCTCAGGAAAGAGTAAAGCACAGCATCCCCAGCAAGACCAGCCTCTACCTGTCTTCGGTAGTGGATTAGCTGTTCTGGTGGGTCACTCCCAGGCCCCAGATGGACAGATGGCAAGCTTCAAAGCTGCTTTTGGGCAATAAGTGGCAGCTACCTGTGGACGGTACAGCCTGGGTGGGGACTCTGCAGGGCTGGGCTCTACCTGCTGCTTTACTTCTGTATTAGTCTGTTGTTACCCTTCAAATACATACCCAAGACTGGATAATTTGTAAAGGAAAGAAGTTTAATTGAATCACAGTTTGGCAGGGCTAGGAAGGCCTCAGGAAACTTAACAATTATGGCAGAAGGGGAAGCAAACACATCCTTCTTCACATAGTGGCAGCAAGGAGAAGTGCCATAGCAAAAGAGGGGAAAGCCCCTTTAAAACCATCAGATCTCCTGAGAGCTCACTATCACGGAACAGCATGAGGGTAACCACCCCCGTGGTTAGATGACCTCCCACCAGGTGGGGATTATAGGATTACAAGATGAGATTTGGGTGAGGACACAGTCAAACCATCTGCCTTATGACAAATTTGGATATATCACAATCAGATCATCTCTGAAACAAAACCACAGGGGAAAAAAATCTCTAGTGTGAGGCTGAGCACGGTGGCTCATGCCTATAATCCCAGTACTTAGAGAGGCCAAGGTGGGCAGATCACTTGATCTCAGGAGTTTGAGACCAGCCTGGGCAACATGGTGAAACCCCATCTCTAAAAAACACAAAAAGGCAGGTGCAGTGTCTCACACCTGTAATCCCAGCACTTTGGGAGGCCAAGGCAGACAGATTACTTGAGGTCAGGAATTTGAGGCCAGCCCAGCCTGACAAACATGGTGAAACCTCATCTCTACTAAAAATACAAAAATTAGCAGGGCATGGTGATGTGTGCCTGTAATCCCAGCTACTCGGGAGGCTGAGGCAGGAGAATTGCTTGAAGCCTGCAGGTGGAGGTTACAGTGAGCCAAGATTGAGCCACTGGGTGGCACAGCCTGGGTGACAAAGCGAGACTCCATCTCAAAAAAATAATTAAAAATAATTAAAAAAAAAATATAAATCTCTAGTGTGAATGTCAATCCCATCCCTCTACACGTTGGTATACATGTGTGTACACACAATTTATATGGAAATATATACATGCGCAAACAGCCCCACTCTCCGGCAAAATCAGTTTTCCACATAAGTCCCTTGCTATTTATGTAACTGGCAAGATAATCCTTGAAAAAACATGTTATGCACCCCATGTACTATCATCTGAGATGGTCACTTATCCAAAACACCAAACCCACTGTTATTCTGAAAGTGAAAGCCCCGTTTCTGTCAGGCATGGGGATGGTCCTTTGCCAAGTCTAGACCCAGTTTAATGCTATAGATGCTGGACTCAAACCCCCTAGAGTTCAAGGTCCATTTATATTGGCAGTACACAACTTCCTGGTTCAAAAAAACAAGTCTTTAAAGATCTCATAAAACTTCTTGGACTTCAGATGGCTTTTACAAAACAATACTCAGATGAGCTAAGTGTAAATGAATCAGAAAACAGGATTATGTTTGCCATAAAAACTCATGAGTTTGAGGATTAGGAGAAGAAAGAGAGACTGGCAAATGCCAAACATTTTAAAGCGCTTTGAGACCATTAGTCAAACTCAAAATGCGGCCAGTTCCCTCATCTTTACACTTTATGAGTTTTGTAATTGAAAATCTTTTCCTACATTTAAGATCAGCTACAAATCAAATTTAGTGGCTGTCTGTGATCAGAAGCGCGTCCACCCATGTTTTCTTCCAGGCAAGGATTTCATGGAGCTCCTTTTAGTCCTCTTTTCCTTTCATCAAGAAATTCTTAGAAAGAAAAAGGGAAGGGAGAAGAAAAAGAAACGAGATGCCAGTAGGCTGTAGATCAAAGAAAGAGAGAGAGAGAAAATAAGAGCAAGAGAGAGACTGAGGGAAAGGCAAGTGAGAGGAGAGGAAACAGGAGAGAGAGGGTGAGAAGGGAAAAGACAGAGAGGGAGAGCCAGAAAGATGGATAGAGGCAAAGAAGGAAGAGGAATGAATAGAGTAAGGGGGAAGGAAGCAGAAAGCAATGAATGAAAAAGGGAGCAGGCAGAGAGATAGATGGAGAAAATGAAAAAATGAAATGAGAGAATTTTAAACAGAACCTATGGCCCCATTTCCTCAGTTAGATTCTGGCAGCCTTTTCTGAACATCAGCTGGCTCTAACCTGAACATCAGTTTGTCTAGATTTGGGCTAGAATTAAATCTGCAACCTTATTAGGTGCTAGCACAGTGTGGCTGGCTGCCCCACATCTCACACAAAGTGGTAGGAACCGGAAGTCCTGTGTTCTCCTACACAAGCAGTAAGCCAAGAATGGAATCTTGAGCTCATGACTGCTCAAAAATGAGTACCTTAATTCACTCACATAGACCTGTTTTGTATTTTTAACCATTTCATCAAAAGGTAGGGGTTGGGGGCCGGGCACGGTGACTCACACCTGTAATCCCAGCACTTTGGGAGGTGGAAGCAGGCAGATCACTTGAGGTCAGGACTTCGAGACCCGCCTGACCAACATGGTGAAACCCCATCTCTAATAAAAATAAAATAAAATAAAATAGAAAAATTAGGCCTGGTGTCATGGTGGGGCGCCTACTTGGGAGGCTGAGGCAGGAGAATTGTTTGAACCTGGGAGGCGGATATTGCAGTGAGCTGAGATCTCACCAATGCACTCCAGCCTGGGTGATAGAACAAGACTCCATCTCAAAGAAAGCAGGGGTGAGGGAATTTAGAAATGTGTGACCTCTCCAACCTTCGACTCTGCTTCCATGAGAAAAAAAAAAAAAAAAAAAAAAACATGAAGCTTTACAAATGCAGAATTAAAGCAGAGGCTCATGTGATGAAAATGTAAGTGTCCCTCTGCCAAGCTATGTGAGCAAGGTGGAAACAGGTCTGCTTTGCAGAAAAAGATGACATAGCCCCTGGAATAGAGCAAAAAGTAGAACTGAGATTTACCCCAGCGGTTCCCTTCCCTTCCCTTTAGTTTTCATATAACAAACATTTATTGAACAACTACAGGACCCTCAGCTAGCTTCCATAGAACCTTACAGCAAATTCAGAACAGATTTCCATTTCAGATGGAGGAGTTAGAGTTAATATGTTAGATTGCAACCCAAAGTTGCCCCTAGACCAGCAACTGCCTTTATGCTGGCCCTCAGTGCCTGGCCGTGGCAATACGGACCCTGTCCACTGGGATCAGAGAGCCTCCTGGAATACATAGATCCTGAACAAATCATCACATGTACAGCAGATATGAAAAAGGAACTACAGGTGGGGAAACAAGACCCATCAGAGGAAAATGGGTCGGGGCATGGTCTGCCTTGCTACAAATTTAGAGGAGCCAATCAACAAAAAGGGAACTCACTACAAATAGTTTTCCTTTCCCCTCCTCACTTGCCTTACTTATAATCAAGTTGAGTATCACACAGTGCGGACTGCCAAGGACAGCAGAACGGCTCCCTGCAGCTAGCCAAAATGTGTTAATTAATTTAGCTTTCACTGATATTTGTCATGCCCATTTATTCAGAACTTTTGGACATTAAACATGAAACTACATGAAAATTAAATAGCTGTCAACACAATTTTATTTACACTTGTCATTCACACCTTCCAATCCTCATTGGGCCACTGGTTGGCCTGCACTCAATGAGGCACGAAGGAAATATGTTTCTGCTCTCAAGGAGTTTGTATCTTGGAAAACACTTTGGATACACAACAAAATGAGATGCACCTCAACAAAAAAATCTATGAAACACTTGCCTCTGGATCACCAAGAGGCCTCCAAATTTTATTTTACTGTGGCATCTCAGTTTTGAACACTTCTTTGACATTCCATTCAGTCACTGGAACTTTTCCAATGACTCATTTCCCTGCTTAAATTTCAGCTCAAAAATGCCCAGACACCTGCCAGGTTGTTTGAGTGCTGGATGGTAATCATGTTCTCTCTATTTGAATACAGCAACTTATAAACTGTGATCCAGTTTTAAAGGGAACCCTCTGCTTTGCTTCAACTTCAGTGTCTTTCATGTTGTTAAGTTGCTAAAATTGCTTTTTTTTTTTTTTTTTTTTTTTTTTGAGATGGAGTTTTGCTCTGTCTCCCAGGCTGGAGTGGTGTAGTGGTGGGGTCTCAGCTCATTGCAACCTCCACCTCTCGGGTTCAAGTGATTCTCCTGCCTCAACCTTCCAAGCAGCTAGGATTACAGGCATGCGCCACCATGTTCAGCTAATTTTTGTATGTTTAGTGGAGACAGGGTTCCACCATGTTGGCCAGTCTGGACTCCAACTCCTGATCTCAGGTAATCCACCCACCTCAGCCTCCCTAAGTGCTGGGATTACAGGCATGAGCCACTGTGCCCAGCCTAGAACTGCTTCTTTACTTAAATCTCAGGAAGTTATTAAAATCGTTATATCTTTTATCTACATTAGAATTTTCACCGAATTGCACTAGAACATGATGCTGCCTGAGTTTAACACTTGATCCTAATTTTTTTTCAATAACCTTTCTACCTGACATC